GTCTATGAATATATGGTATCGACACATAAGCAGGGAACGACAACACTTGGTCGAGCGTTTAGATGACTATTTCACGGGTGTTCATCGTAGATGTAGTCCAGTCGATACTGGAGATAAGCGTTTTAGGGAGATATGGGTATCTGGTCTACACGAAGGGATGACGTTTGACGCCTAAAGGAGCTCGAAATTACATGAAACGCGAATACAGTCTTACTACCTTTATAAATTCTTCACAATCCTCACCGATAACAAGCGCATGTTTTTAGGGTATCCCCGCGGAGTTTCCGAATCCAACCAGATCGAACCCTTAACCTTCCAGAAGTAGACTGAAAGCAACTCATACGACCAAAGCTAAAGACGCACTTATATTAGTAAGACTCAGAGCATTGACATTTGATAGACTTAAAATCGCTTGGTCCGAATTCGACTACACGGGATAGTTCAGCACTATCAGTCCCTGTGATAGCCGATGGATATCACTTGGCGTGATCTCGATGAAAAATGAGGTAGGCTAATGACCATAAGGAGACTAGTGGTATCTCAAACGCTATACCGTACTAGATATGTATCCAATGCCACACATTTAAGATTTCATAAGCAGTCCATAGGGTATGACCATATTTACTAAAATTAATTTGATCAGAGCATATTACAATATCTCAGTAGCTGAGGAGGTTATACCTAAGGCAGACACTGAGATGTTGTTAACTGTTCACGTTCATGCGCATGCCATTCGGCCTGAAGAACATGGCAGCAACACTTCATAGGTTTATGGATCATCTACTTCGGAGTAGGCTTTTGAGCCAGGGTATATCAATGATTTGTCGATCATCAAGTATAATATGTGATAACTGTATGAAAACAACTTGATGAAAACGTTATTAGCATACATCAAAATTTGTTTTCGCAGTTCAGATTTTAAATTTAAAAGGTAGATAATTCGGAAACAATTCAAACATACGGTGACAAAATCGTGAATTGTCACACTGCTTAAACACAACAGGAGATAAAGATGTTGCTTCGGTGTGTCTCCTTATTTCTCCTCATTTTCCATGAAGAATACACCTTTATTTTTCTCGTGTGTTTTTTATTTTGATTGCTTAGGGTGAAATTTCTAGGGTACAAAACAAACTCAGAAAAGAGTGCCAATAAAGAACAGGTTGACGTTATTAGTCAGTACATATATACTGTGTTCTTCGGCACACCTTAGAAAATTTCTGGGTTTAATTTACTTCCATCGCCGATTCGAAGCCATGAACAACAAATGCCACAGTTTACAGGTCCTCTTAAGTAAAAACAAAAAGCTTCCGAGCTGACGTCTGAAGCTATTGCGACTTAACATACGAAAGTATAAACTATTCCAAGCATCTGCGTTAACATGTTTGGATCCCGAGTCAGCACTCTTAAAATGGTCGACACTTCAAAAAAGCGGTAGGATATGCCCTTAATCAACTGTTAACTGACTGCATTCCCAAAAAGAATAGCTCTCACAGAGACTAGATACTCTTCTTCCAGCGGGGACTTACAATTTACTTGGTCATGAAACGTTTTCGATATATATTTAAGAGTTGAAGATTATTTGCCTAAACAGATCATAAATCACTGGAAAATATATCTACAGCTAAAGTTGATGGATATTCAAGCTGAGAAAATGGCCAAGGCTTTTACTAAGGACTGGGTGAATGTTTTTGTTACCACTGTCACAACAACAATAAATGAAGGAGTCCAATTGAAGTCTAAGCTACTCAACAACTTGTCGAAACTTCCAAAAGCTATATGAATACACTGAGCTGCATATCACTCTCAGGCTAATGGGTCGGTGGAGCATTTCCGCGGTCATCCAAAAGCTGCCTTCCATTCAAAGGTCTAGTCAAGCAGTTATTAAATTATACTTTTCCATAACTCAACTACACCATTCGTAAACACTTCTTCGATCTGCTTCTCGTCATTTTCTGTTTCCCTCTCTTTCTCAGCGCCGTCATGAAACACCACCGAAAACCGCGTATGTGGAACTTATTTGCATTAGATGATATCCGCAATATTTCAGAAAGATGTATAGATTTTTTATCAGAAGCCTGTTGCATTTATCATCTGGAAGAAACTATTAAGCAGCACAAAGTGATACGTTAAAGTCGACCTGTTCAGCTATCCGATTATCAATTTACCGCATGGCTTCTTGTTATAAACAGCTCTGTACTTTACTTGCACTAATTCTTGACCAGCAGTTAATCGTTGCAACCAAGCTTTTTTTAGAGTGCGTCAACTTTCACATTAAACATTCAAGGTTTACTAACGTTATTTACATTCTTACGTACGAAAATTTATTTCTCTAACGTCATGACTAGAATGACTTGTGATATATTAAACTTAGTAACTTGTTACAATAAATCCTGTAGCATTTGTAACATGATATTACCTGTAGATCGACATGACTCGTGCAACATATTGCTATTTGGAAATAAATTTCTAGTATTATTACTATAAAATCAGTAGACCCATGGTACAGTACTTACCTACAAACCCATTTATTATTCTGTTGGTATATCTGCACGAATGCTCTGTTATAAATTTTCACTGACGTTATCACTTTAATAACCTTGGTTCGGTAGTACGTCTTCTGTAAACTAAAATTGAATAAAGCCATTAGTAATGATTATTATTGATCGTGCCTGTAAAAATGACGTGTGACCGTTATGTCATAAATATACATTATTATTAATTGTCAGCACATGTACTAGCGTTCAAAAAGACAAGAAGCTTCAGGTGCTAATGCAACTACTAGAATTAGGATTTAACCAGATGCTCATATCCGGAGATTTCAATACTGTCTCCACATCTCATCAGTCAGGATGCAACTACAAGGTGGTTCCCTAAGCGATTTTCACAGTCATTGGGAGCTCAGGACTGACTAAACATGTTAGTGACACCTGAGAATGGACTAAAGGAGGAAGTCCTACGGAATAGATTTGTTTGCCAAAAATCGATCACTCCTTAGTCGAAGATATTCATATCCAATCATCAATAGGTAGGAGCGGCCATGAGATGGTCATATTTGAAGTGGTCACGAATGAGGTACTTCGGAGGTTTAAGTTCACCTTTGCTACACTGTGGCAGGCTACGCGAGTAAGAGGGTGCAATTTAATAGGGAATGACCACTGAGAGGCAATGAGAGGTATTGCACAAGGAGCTATCCTACACAGCGAACCTATAGTAAAAACACATGTGAAGAGAACAACCTACATTGCGCAAGACTCATCATGCATGCTACTGACAGGATGGAGAGTCCGGAACAAATAGTAATTTTCTCTAATGGATTCCGACCATAGCTCTCGGTTGGCATTATGAAAAATGTATAATTCCAAAGTTCATATTGACGAAAGGTATTTCTAGACCACACTGACAGCTCATATACAAGCAAGTCCGAAATATCTCACTGAGTTCATGACCAAATGGAAGCCTTTGAATTCTGCTCTTGCACTCTCAAACGTCCCGAGGATTAAGATCTTACCAACACATGACAAAAGTTTTTAATGCCAGCTTCACCGATCCACCAAATCAGGAATGTATAGGCGTACAGCATTCCTCAACTCTAGTGCCAGATGACGTACTGGAGCAAATACACTTAACTCTCGGGTTAGTAATATGAAGAATAAAATCCCTGTGCCAATTAAAAGTCACTAGGATTCTAAAACATCCGTCATGTGGTCCCTAAGCAATGCATGTCATATGTTTAGGCACTTGCTAGAGTCACACCAACTTTCAAAAAAAAGCAGGCTACAGTCGTCAAGTGAGAAGTTAGAGATCTAACCTGTTGCAGATCAATAGCATTACTCATAACGCATTTAACGTTAATTCATGGACCGATCAACGATCGAGTGAGGTAATACATTGGCAAAAATAGCATTCTATATGAGGACCAAGACAGAATCAGATAACCCGGGTCCCGCACATTCGAACTTCTCCCAGTATGAGAACTGGACGACCTGCATGAGCTAAAAGACACCAGTCCGTGCGATACTTCTTGATTTTACGAAGGAGTTTAACACAGCACCACATGCACTTCATACTACAAAGGTTACAAAGAAGGGTTACATTCACTCATTTCTTTTGCCGCTTCTAAACTACTTGAATAACTGGATGTTCAGTTTAAAGGTAGGAAGTGTGGACGTAATTTGGAAGGTCTCGACATCGAGAGGTTTACAGATGATCAATTTGGGATCACTCATCTCCCTACCTTTTATTAAGTATCTCTAAAATGAAACTAGGTCATCGACCTTCACATAAGCTGACGATACTGAGACATGGAGGCAATTTGGGTTCTTTTCAGCTACCGGGGGATCCTAGAACAAATATGACCTATCAAAATGTTATCTTATGAACACTAAACCACACAAAAAGCAAACAACACACACCCGTCATAGAAATATACTCGCAACCGACTCTACAAGCACTATCTAAGTTTGCTAACCAGAGAGCTTGCAATACAGCCCAAACTTATTCGAGGATGGAGCCAAAGCAAATGTTACTACTTGCTTTACTCGGACGAGGATTGATACTGAACACCAGAATTATTTCTTGTACTGTCTTAAATGTACTCGAGACATCACCTAGAAGTCCACAACGCTCTTGTACATCTTAAAATAGTCGTCTTTTCTTGCACTCGAGTTTTGTTTTTATTATTCTTCACATTACAACTAATCGAACTCCTGCGTTATAATATGATAAATGATGGTTCCAGAAATCATTTTGCCTTGAGGGAAACACACTCACTCAAATTACGATATATGCAAACATACAAATAAATATAAAACTGACTAGAAATTGTGCAGTGTAGTAGACAGACTGCTGCCAATTAAAGATTATCAAGGACATGGAACCGTTCTGAAACAACAAAAAGGGGAAACAAAAATTTAATCAATTTAGGCAAGCTCATCACAGAGATATTGACTTGTTTTACTGGATCTCTTGATTCCAAACTCTCAAGGTTGCAAAAAGCGAACACTTGATCGCTGATTTGTTTATTATTAAACTACGGGGCAGGGTCTGTAGTGCCACTCGATATTCCTGCTACCAAATATGAAGCAAAACGTACTTCAATATTTGTTGTATGATGGAATGAATACGGAAGGCCAGTTATTTAGGATTAAAAAAAGTGATTTTAATATTCACACTACTTTTATTTCGGATAGATGATGTGGTTCATTTCGTTTTGGACGTGTCTCTGATTGGTTGCAATGTCCGGTTTTTTATTAATTATCCTGATTCCGGAGTTCCATTCCAGCGGTTGCAATATCGAGAGCTGCCTTTGAATAACCCAACTCTTACTGGCAAACAATCGGATTGTTTTGATAATTTTTTCGAGTTAAAGAAAATAAGTGTCTGCGGATCTTTTCACTTTTACTTTTCAAAAGATGGATCTTCTCCTAGCCCTCCATCAACCGCAACATGTCTGAAAGGGAATATAGCTGGCTCAGGATATATTATCGTTGATCCAGATTTCACTGGTAAAAAGGTTGCCACGGAGCCCTCCAAAAATAGCTGTGGGAAAAATTGGGATTTAAGTGGCGTGGTCCTTCAGTCTTATTTGTCCAAGAATCTTGGAATATTCCCTGAATGGGAATCAAGACTTTATACAGCCAGGAATGGTGGTTATAATATGATTCATTTTACTCCTCTTCAAGTTAGTAGCTTTCCTTTTGATTGTTTGTTTTACGTTTTATCTTAATGGCGAATTTCGATGTTTACACTTTGTTGGTCCCAGTTTTGTACTGTCATGTAAGGTAAGCTGAGCGGTATCTTTCTAAGCGAGCAAACTAAACAGTTTTGAAATCAGCCGAGATGAATAAAGTGGTTTATAATCACATACTAAGAACAAAATATTATCACTGTATATCTCTTATTAAGTACGTTTGAGATTGTTTTTAATGAATTTGTTAATGAGAAGTCTTCAGTTCTAACTATTTTATTGAGAGCACAAAGTGATGCAAGTTAGGCAACTATAAAAAATTGAATGATTAAACGGCTGCTACTTTTTGACATGGGACTCCTCAGCAATATACAGTCACAACTCTCGTCATCGGAGATCAAACTTAACATCTTCCGTCTAGTACTTAAACGCTTAACCTCCGGATTACTGGACCAATATCTAATGGTGTACAAACGTAGGTTAAATCATTCCGCAATGTCACACGACCATCTTCTATCGTCTTTCGTGGGTACCTTCCTCATGTTTGAGACAGTTAAAACAAACTAGTCGCGGCTTCTCACTAGAACTCCATAAATGTCTTCCCTAACCTAGCCACCAGTAAATAAATGACAAGTACCAGTATGGTGGGTTAGGGAGATTGTTTCTTCGGCAGACAAGAGAGCCCCTTGGCTTGTAAACTGTCAATTTCAGAAAGCAAGTAATAATTACAGTGCCTAAAAACATTGACAAATAAAATATGTTTAATGAAGGTGGGGTGAGTTTGATCCTTTAAATTAAATCAGAAAGTCTAGATTTTGGCATGTGTATAGAGGTAATACATGAAACAAGACCTTTTGATCATTAGCTTAGTGTACGTGAATGTTCTGAATTTCTATTTACGTTACAGGAACTTGGCTATTCTCGTTCTGCTTACTCTCTCAAAGATCAACTCACAGTCAATCCTAGCTTTACTCCACCTGGGGCAACGAAGAAGGTGGACTGGACAGATATTGAATGCTTTATCAAACATTTGGAAAATAATTGGGCAGTACTTAGTATGACCGACTTAGTTTTCAATCATACTTCAAATGATAGCCCCTGGGTTCACGAACATCCTGAATGCGCTTACAACGTTGTTAATTCTCCTCATTTAGCTCCAGCGTATATTCTGGATCATATTGTCTGGCGTTTAACAGTAGAAGCCAGTACTGGATCACTTGCAAGTTATGGTATCCCAGCAATCTTAAACAATCCAGATAGTGAGCTTCCAGCTATAGAAGTTTGGTTGACACAGAAGATAGAAGCAGCGAAGTTATATGAGTTTTTCTTAGCAGATGTTGATATAGTATCAAAAGAATTCATTTCTTGGTTAAGTAAGTTTCTAAAGTATTCTACCCACTTTGTTTCCGTCTTTCAGTACTTATAACAAATGGTCTTAGCTGAAAATCTTAATGAGAAGCAAAAGTAGATGACTTCCGGCAGCACCATTGACGTCAATTATTTAAAGCATAAATAATGTTTACATACCAACATATTTTGGCATTATAAATGATACTTCGAATTACATTTTCCGCAATTTCTTGCAAATAAGGCAAAAATATGTTCTTGTCTCATTATTTACCTCAAAAACGATAATTTAATCATACTGTGGATGTCAGTCAGCCATCTCATTGTCAACGTAGAGCCGGTCCATTTTGTCATACCAACGTGACACATGGTGAATAGCTTAGGAGTCACACTAATGTACTAGTAATGATAAAATGAAAAGCTACCCACCTTAATCAATAAAGACTCGTAATCTTATCAATCGACTCTGGTGAATGTAAGTGAATGTGAGCAATATAGTGTTAGATAATGATTCAATTTTTATATTTACGTGTAGCATAAATTTATTTAGATTGTATTTTGTGATAATCTAAGTCTACGGTCCATATTGTTGAGGTAGCATAACCATTTTTTGTCAAGTGAAGCGGAGTTTAATGTTACCCTAAATCTTTCCGCTATTCTTTCAGCCTTTAAGTTTGAAAACCTTTTCGGACATATAGATAAGCAAACAAGGACCTCAAACGAGTACATATTGACACAAGCTGAGAATTCTATATTGTACCAAAATATAATATTGAATAAAGCCATTAATAATAATAATTTACATTAAAAAATGGAGTTTATCACGTTTAGTACCATTTCACGACTACCTTAATTATTCTTATTCTTGGAAGGACCAGTTAATTTATTCTTTTTGGGTCATTATCTACACATACATTTGCTTTTGTCAAATATTCGCTTATAACATTGATTATTATTATATGAGCTCATGTGTGTGCGAAAGACAACTAGAAAGGGATCACGGAAGCAATACACCGTACCACAAAGTGCTAGGCCACAAGAAGTTCCATCGTAAAATATAGATCTCTATCGATATCCTGTGCATGACTCAAAAAGCAAGAAGACAGTAATTAACAACAGCCGAACAAGTGCAGATAATGCCAAGGTGCAGGCCAAATACACAGAAGAAACCAAACGCGTGAAAAGACGCATTGGAGCGGACAGAGGGAAATATGACCTAGCAACGAAAGCAGGAAAGGCTGCAAGCAAAGAAAATATCAGACAATTATATAATACGACGAAGAAAGTTGCAAGGAAATATAGCAACCTAGAGCGACCAGTCAAAAAAGATGGTATACCAATCACAGATTGAACGGCAACGGATACATGCGTGTAGAACACTTTGAAAAGCTCTTGAGTAGAAAAGCCCCACTGAACCCAAACAACTTTGAGGCAACACACAGACCTTCCCATAGATGTTACCACACCAACAATCAAATAAGTATGCATTTCCAAAAACATTCAATAGTGATAAGGCAGCAGGACCAGACAGCATACCAACATAAGCACTAAAGTCAGACATGGAAGTAATTGCAATGATGCTTCACATTCTCTTCAAAAAGATTTGATAGGAAGAGGAAGTACTAACATAATGAAAAGAAGGACATCTCATCGAGATACCTAAGAAAAGAGATCTCAGCAATTGTGAGAGCTACAGAGGCATCGCACTACTATTAGTACGAGTAAAGCTTTTCAATAGTGTTGTTGAACCGAATGAAAGATTCAGTAGACGCCCAACTTCGAAATGAAGAGGCAGGGTTTTGTAAGGATCGGCCGTGTGCAGACCGAACCGCCACACTACGCATGATTGTTGAGCAGTCAGTTGAATGGAACTGGTCACCATACATCAGCTTCCTTGACTACGAGGAAGCATTTGACAGCATAGATATGAGGACCCAGTAGAACCGTCCTCGATACTATGGAGCACCTAGGAAGCATGTCATTATCATACGGAATTCTTACGACATGCTACACTGCAAAGTCGTGCATGTTGGCCAGCTCACAAATGTCTTCCAGGCGAGCACTATTGTCAGACGAGTCTGCTTACTTCCGTCCTTTCTCTTTCTTTTGATGGCCGACTGGATCATGAAGACCTGTACATCTCAGGGGAAGCACGAAATGCAGTGCATAGCATGGATGCAGCTAGACAATTTGAACTTTGCGAGTGACCCTATCCCTCCCATGCTGTACACAGTAACAAGTGCTGGTAAAGTTAGCCAGAGTAGCAGCAGCGTCTGCAACAGTAGGCCTCAATATACGCAAGGGAGAAAGCAATATCCCGAAATGCAACACAACGAGCATCAACCAAATCACGCTTGAATGAAAAGCTCTGGAAGAGATGGAAACATAGTCGGTTGGACGTGAGTGGGGCCTATGTTGTACCAGGGGTAACAGGCTTAAGTAAATGTGTGTGGGTCTACCACTCACTCTCTTAGTCAAATATATTTAGTCGGTTTTTCTGTCTGACTATAAATATTGAGTCACGCCTCATTAAATTGATGTGCCACGTTTGCCTTCTTCGATCAGTTTCTCTCTTATCTGTCTATCTGCGTTTACAGATGAATGAGACATATGTATCGAAAACTCAATCTCGTATTTGGCCTACTTTATTTCGTCATGCACTGACGCAAATATGTACGAGGCCAAGCGGGATGTGTATTTTATTAACGTCATCATTCAATAATAATCGAGTCAGACAACAAGCCTATAGGATTAAGTCGATAGACTGAACAGAAAAAGGGGTGGAAATGGTATACATTGCAGTGAGAAATTAGATACCGGAGTGATTGTTGAAAAGATTCTAATGGGGTCGAGGAATGACAAGTATGAATAGCTTGGATATTCTTACCATTGTTATAATGACAGGTATTCGAGAAAGCATGATAACTACAGCGAATTTGATTTATGGGTTTTAAAATTCTTCAACAGTGACGGGGAGTTTCTCGTGTAGCTTACATGTTCAGTATTATGAGTCAGAAATATACCGTAGGATTTTCAGAGTAAAATATATTACAGGCTGATATTTACACAATTCGTTCATTTTCTTCACGGAACAGAGTCCTATTTTCCATGCCAAGTGCGGTGTTTAATAAGTTTTTAATTACGTTTGATGTCGGTTCAAAACTCTTTGTATTTCGCTAATACATAAAAGTTCCCTTGTTTGTTTTTTGAAGATAGGTATTTATGTTTTAGAAGCTTTTCAATGGCTAGTGATAGGTAATTATTCAACATATATGACACTCATATTCTTTCGTTGGTTTTACTCTTCCCTGGTGAGCTTTTTTGCCTTCCTAAAAACACCTTCAACAATGATTTTGTGACTTTTTATGGGGATATTTAAGTCAATTTAAAACAAAAACGGACAAGTATATTCTGGTATTTACAAATATTGTGTTGTTGCCTTAAAGTTGCTCATTTACTTGTTCAACTTTTAGGAAAACAAGCAACATTTCCTTCATTAATTTCCCCGAATGAAACTAACTTGTCGCTGAAAATTGACGGGGCCAGAAAAGGAAGACGATTTGGGGCTACTGTTGATTTTTCAATAGCATGTCATGAAATTGTCGGTAAAAATGAGAATGAACTTCCCCTTTCTGAAAGTGAGGCTGAAGCTGCTGGTGAAAAGTTACGAGTCAGGTTAATATCTCTAAATTATGACCAAGTTAATGAAATTAAGCATCATTTGCAAGCTGCCGTAGGAAATGTATTGGCAAATGCTCGCTATCGATTTTACGATCCTCATGGACTTAAGCTTAAGCAAGTTACGTTAGATACACCTATTATGTGGGCGTAAGTACATTCAATATCTTTTTGTAATTTTGCATACATTTATTTGTGTATAAATTAAAATATATTATATGTATTTTTATATATCATATTGGTATAATATAATATAGACAGATATTGTTTGTTAATTTGCCCTATTCTTATTAATTTCTTTATTTTATCCCATTATTCAACCTTGTTATCTTTAAATGATACAATGTTACTAAATAATTACTCATAATCTGGTTACTTAATTTCCTTCGGTGTCTTATCTATTTTCATCGTATTTTATCCTAGTTTCTCGTATTCCATCAATATTTTCCGACTGCTTGGAACCAAATTTGTGAAGTGTTTCTGATTTATTAGTTTTCATTAACTTGTGTGATAGAAGACTTATTTCATTCTTCTAATCGAACTTTAAGTCTGATATAAACCACTTTGTTTTACTAAAAAGTGTTTATCTAAAAGATGAAATGTTTAGTGGTGATACATTTACTGTCATAATAAAATTCACTTGAACATCGATTTGATATTTGACAAAGGATGATACTGTATAATTGTTTCATCTCCAACAATTAATTAACTGCTCCTATTGACGAAATGTCAGATTTATAGATAATTAAAGTACCGTTTCGTTAAAAAATGGTTTCTCTCTGTCGATTTCTTTACTGACAATGGTATGTGTGATAGTTGATTCTAATCCAGCGTCCATTTAAATTTCTACGTTAAATATACCTTCCGTTTGATTGCTTATTTAGTGTGCATCGAAAGTCTACCCCTCAAACATATTCATTTTGTAATCCACCCAATATGCGGTAAATTGTAATACTTTTTTTTCATGTATGTTTAACAATTGTTTTTATATGAATTCTAGCCATGACTTTCAGGAGTACAATTCTTTATAAAGAACATCAGTAAACTATTTCAAGGCCTACTACATAATAGTTGGGATTTTAGTTAATTGTTTCTTCACTTCGCATACTTCTTCCACTTTCCTATATGTTACATATTTCAATACGATATTTTCAAAGCCATTCTAGTATGTATCACCATATACTTCCAGATAATTTTTCTAATCACTGTTTACATCATCTATGGATAGTTGGTGTTTTGAAGTATTTAACAATTTCAAAGGATTGGTAGATTTTCGAGAGAAGTTTGGAGAAAACATGTCGTTTTTGTCTCAGTAAAGAGGTCTCAAGAAAAGAAAATTAAGTATGCATGTTACACTAAGAATATTGTCAATGTATTTCTACATGACTAAAATCTTTAGTCATAACACTTACTGAATAATCAACTAGCTTTTTGTTTTTATGTGTAAAAACAATATCGTAATGTCAAGATAAGCCATTTCAATATTGCTACAGGAACTATATATCTGATTGGTTATAAAATTTGGCAACCTATTATATGTTAACATAAAAGGCTTTCATACTTATATTGTCTAAACATTAATAATATTGTTTTCATGTCAACAAAATTTAGACCCTATAATTGCGTGTTTGAGTCATATTCCTAAAAGACTGATCCACAATTCTGACAAATGTAGTGTTTCCCAATTATTTGGTATATGTTTAATACTTGTCGGTGAAACTGATAATGGCACGTTGATGACGTGGTACTTACTTACTTACTTACGCCTGTTACTCCCAATGGAGCATAGGCCGCTGACCAGCATTCTCCAACCCACTCTGTCCTGGGCCTTCTTTTCTAGTTCCATCCAATTCTTGTTCATTTTTCTCATGTCTATCTCCAGTTCTCGGCGTAATGTGTTCTTTGGTCTTCCTCTTTTCCGTTGACCTTCAGGATTCCATGTGAGGGCTTGTCTTGTGACGCAAAATTTACGTGGTAACGCTACACTATTTCACTTTTGAGTGGTGCTTTTTAGCTGTCTGACTGCAATAAAAAGTTAATTGTTTACGAAACCCATGTATTGTTACAGTGAGTGGGATTAGATAGCATTCATAATTTTTAAATATATTGTTATCATAAGAATTTTATCGCTTTCTTAATAGGTACTTTTATCATCCAGTCCCTGACGTAGAAACCATTGAAGAAGCTGAAGCAATTTTGGAAACCAAAGATGCCGCAAAAATTATGGCTTTTAATGGATGGGTGATGAATGATGATCCTTTGAAAAACTTTGCAGAACCTAGCTCATTTGTATACTTACGCCGTGAACTTATAGTCTGGGGTGACTCAGTAAAGTTACGGTAATTTTTGTCCCATTTAAATTTTCACTGCATAAATTTGTACACATATATGTTTTAAAAACTACTAGTTTTCATATGGTCTTTTTCATAATAACTAATTTGCAACCCAATTCAGTGTTTTGTGTAAATAACTATATATATTCTTGTATTAGTTAACACTTGGAGTTATTAATTCAATGAAGACCACAACGTTTTAAAACTTAAAAAATTGAAGCATTATTTCAGCTGGAATTATATGATACACTGTATATATATCGATTTGGTTGGGATGGTTTATGCTTCATCACATCTTAGGTTTCGATATTATTTTATGCAGTTTGTTCGATTGTTTTTTGTTTGTTACTATCATTGATACCTTTACTGCTTCGGCTGACCTGCTACTAATCTTGCCAATTTTCTCTATCTGTGTTTATAAAGTGTGGTGATTCGAACCGATGAAAATTCGTGTTAGACCCTACATTGATTAAGACTGACTAACTCCCTCTTATAGAACTGGTGTGTTATCATCAACCCTCACAAAATAAAGATACTCAAAACAGATAACTCGAAGATGTGCTTGGTTATTTATGTATTGGTGTAGGTGGGAAATTTGTTATATGAATGCAATAAATAGTACCGTCTTGGCGGTTGTTTGTAAATTTTACTCAGTTTTATTCACTTAACAGTATCTGTGATTCTTCAAGACCCTAGTTATGGCTTCTGATTTTTGTGACAGAAATCGATCTTAATTTTTTACATCTAAAATCCATCGTTGTGCTGATATGATCATACTAATTGTCAAGTCAACAACACGTTAAACATGAAAAATAAAGATAACTGGTTACTGTACGATAATCACATCATGGAGATATATTTCATTGATCAAAATTAACTGATCAAGATAGTTTGTCCAGTTCACTTATCTTAACGCAGTAGGCAATGTCAGAAGTGACCAATGATTTCACAAAAATCCCATTCTAAACAATTTTACTTTAACTTGAATTTATTTATCTATTTTCGTATCTATCTGTTTAGTTTTTTGGTTGCAGCAACCTAATTTTATTTTTTGGCAATTTTTAAAAACTTCAGTTATGGTGACAAACCGGAAGACAGTCCATATCTTTGGGATAGAATGACTAAATATACGGAACTAACTGCAAAAATATTTCATGCAGTACGGTTGGATAACTGTCATAGTACACCTCTTCACGTAGCACAATATATGATTGATAAGGCTAGAGCTATACGACCTAATTTGTATGTGGTTGCAGAATTATTCACTGGAGGCGAATATGTTGATAACATTTTCATCAATAAATTAGGTCTTAGTTCTTTAATACGAGGTAAAGTTTGTTGAATGATAATGATAGTATTTTGTCTTATTTCGTATTTCTTTATTGTATTCGATTGCATTTGTTGCTTACTGAATTACTATCACTGTATGTAATTGTCATAAAGACCATATATGCTTCTTAAAATGGCACGAATCAGTTACCAGAAATAAATAATGTGACCAATTTATTCAACACTTATCGGTTTTAATCATCAAGGAATGAAATATAATTGCCAATTCAGGTAAAAAACAGAATGGTGGATGTTTTAGATTACCCAACAAGATACATCCTAAACATGAGTTTTCTATTCGTTGGCCATCACTGTTTTCAAGTACTGACTAAATTAACATTCTTACTGAATGTTATCAATCCTTTGTACAGAATGGTAATTAAACATATAATCACCGAACATTCTCAATTCGTAGAGGCTGGGTTTCACAGGAACAAAACGGAATTGCTCCCACCAAAACTTTTTAAACCCGACCTCTCACAGCCAGACTAACATCATGAAGGCGCCACAGATGGACCAACCTGGCATAAGCCTCTCTGGCTTCCACTAAACGTATATTGATCTCATCTGAAACGCCAACACCTATACTTTCACAACTACTCAGTTCCACAAACTGTTCGATTGCCAGCGGCTCATCACAAAGAGTGGGTGCCTGCATACGCTCCTGCCTGTCTTGCAAAAGTACTTTATATTTCGAAGGTGCAAAGTACGTACCATACCTACGAATATTGATTGCCAACTGATTACTTGCAGGTTGCACGGCTTGAGCATCATTACACAGTAAGACAATATCATTTACATGCTGACAACCAAAACGTTTTTTCTCAAGTGACAAACACATCACCATTTACCTTCACCAGTATTGTTTCCAGAATGTCATTGATGGCATAATTAAAGAGGAATAGTGAGATTGTGTAACCGTTCCTGGAATAGAGCAGTGGAGAGAGGTGGTTTTCTGCCAACACTCTAGCTGAGATGTTTGCATATGGAGCCCTTTAGCTGTTAATAAGCTCCTCAGGCACATCTTTAATAGAGAATCTCAGAGTACAATCCTGTCAAATGCATAGAAGGCTTTACTAATATTAGGAAAAATAACATTTGGAGGAGGGTGAATGTATAGACAGTACCTTTGCGACCAAAAGGAAAGTACGTCTGTTCTTCCTGAGTCGATCTTTCACGGATTTTGTACAACCTGCATAGTATGACAGAAGCCAATAGTCTGAATGCGCTCAGAAGTGGACTTATTCGTCTGTAGTTGTTGCATCGTCGGCGTCAGCCCTTTTTAAGGATCTGTGGGACGGTGGCTACATTTCAAGGTGTTAGGACACCCACTAATTCTTAAAATTCCACAAACAACTCAGTCGGTTCAGTGATCAGGAGTTGGCTACCTTGGTTAAAATACCTGGAAATAATTCTTAAGGGCCTGGTGGTTGCGGGTGCTTGCAGGTTTCTTCCGTCTTGTTGGATCAATTAGTCAACATTATTCATGAAGGGCAGGACAGTCTGATCGATATTGTGGAGCAACAGACTAGGTGATCTGCTCAATTTGATTGTATTAATCCGTTTGGGACGAAAAACCTGTTAGCCATCGAGATGTACGATAAGATTGGTGCAAATGAGGGCATGATCAAAGTTGAGACAAGTACCTAAAGATGAGCCGTAGTTTTGTACACAACAACGCCAGCGGTAGCTGATCGCGATGTGTTCAGTTTGAGTTCAAAATTTGAATGTAGAGTGAGGGGGTCGGGTAGCACATTGATGATGACTACCAATAGTAAGTTCTAGCTGGAAACAGGTTGTTGTTTATACAGAGCTGCGGCAGACGTTCACCGTTATCTGACCTGCGACCAATTAGTCTCCATTGGCCATCGAAGCGACTTTCCTCTGCTTAGATTTTCGACTTGTGCATTAAAGTCTATGGCTAACATTACAATATTTATCGAACACGTTTTCTTGAGATCGATTAATGCTGCTTCTGCTCTGGCTCTCAGTGTGACAACAGTGCCAGCAGAATCGGACGGAGATGCCACAGGGTCTCCAGATAAACGCACGTGAAGCAAGCTTTTCTAATCTACAGATGCGAAGCGAACGTGTGATACTTCACTAGAGTCTTGGATGTGAGCTTCTAAAAAAATGGAAAAGTTGATGTCAAGAATTTCTAAAGCCAACCAAACCTGTCTGTTATCCGTTTCCCATTTGTATGCAAACGTTGATGGAGATCAGTTTAATGGTGCATGTTGTTTCAAGAAAGCTGATTCAGTTTACGTATTCGGTGGTGGTATCTTAACTTCCGACTAGTCACTGACTTGATTTCGTCTAGATTGGACAAAACTACCCCCAAAGATGAAGTACTGTATGAGTTGGAAAAACAACAGTGATCACGGAATGGAAATAAAAAGAAATAGGAAGATAAAGAAGCGTTAATTGAATTTATACGGAATTAGGTAGTTGCGGATTTCCTTTATTTAAATAACGAGAGAGAAAGAAAACGTTTTCTTCATTAATAATCATGTTCATAATTATTTATGGGCCAGGAAACTTCCCGGGTACTCAGTCCAAAACAGCTGGTTTCTTTGGTAGGCACTCTTCTAGCCTTTGATTCAAAGGTACAACGTACAAGGCAGTGGAGCAACGCCAGATATAATCTCATGGTATCTGGTGACCAAGGGTAGGCTCATATGCCATCCGACTCCTCTGGATCATGGAGCCGAAGTGCAGTATTGGTTTGGAATTAGGGTTTTCCAACTTTCCCAAATATACCCTGTGTATCCACCAGCCCGATTTAATCTCTAAGCATTCTCTTTCCGCCCTTTCACTTCTGTAAAGAACACCCCCGTCACGAGATAAGTCGGACTTCCCTGGCAGTGACTATAATACGTGGCCATATGAGAGGACTCTCTCTACCCTCAGCCGTATCAGGAGATTTTAGAGCTTCAAGTTTGTCGGTATGCTCTTCTGTTACAGTGTTTACAAAGAGACGTTTGTTTGCTGCAAATTTGTGAAGAAATACCCACTTCCCAGTTATCTGTATGCAATAATATTTTCGGTTAACATCTGGTCCATAAGTTTTAAATAAACGTTTCATAGGTCCGTATCTCACGTACCGGAAATCTACTACAGTTGGATACATAAACTAAGTACCTATTTTATTTTCCATGTGCTCTGGTTATTTTTCCGTGTTCAAAATGATATAATATCGTCTTCCTTAGGAACCAAACGTTTTGTAAGTGCTTTTTATTCTATCTCCATTAAAATCATTATTTTAGACCTGATCGGTTCACTCTTATACTATAACATTCTTTAGAATAAACAAGCAAATAATAAAAATTTACTTTCACTTGTTAAAGCTTTCTCTATACATTCTTACAAGATTTACTTATTTCAAATCAATTACAATTTTAGAATCCCTATCAGCTTGTGACTGTCATGATTTAGGTCGACAAGTTCATCGATATGGTGCATCCCGACCTGCTGGAGCATTTTTTGAACGAGCCAGTGCACGTCGTCTATATCCGAGTGTATCACATGCTGTCTTCTATGATCAAACTCATGATAATCCAAGTGTATTGGAGAAACATTCTGTTTTTAATTATCTGCCTTTATCTGCGGTTGGATCGTTTGCTTGTTGTGCAATCGGTAGTACACGTGGTTATGATGAATTAGTCCCACATTATATTGATGTAGTTAAAGAGGAACGTTTCTATTCGCGATGGCCTGATCAAGTCAATTATAATATTGGTATAATTAAGCCAAAATCTATTTTAAATGAGCTGCATAGTTGGTTATCATCTGAAGGATTTTCTGAAACATTTGTAGACCAAGTATGTAATTTATTATTATTATTATTACGATTTATTTCGTTTTTTTGTTTAAAAAATGAATTATATTGAAACGTCCATTCATTATACAACGTTTTCCTTATTTAATACAACTTGTAACTGATTGATTGATTGACTGACTAATATGTTGTAAACATTTACACTGTAGTAAATAGGATAATGTTGAAACATTCGAGCTTAGTAGTTATAGTACTAAACTTTCAACGATTCACTCCATCTATTTGTTCATTTTAAGAAAACTGAATATTATCAGTACGTCCCATGCAAAAATGGGTGTGACTGAGAACTGAGTATATGAATCGGTACTCGAAATATAAGTAGTATTATTTTTTAGTACAGGAGATTTGTGGAGCTGATTGAATTATGTAATTCACATTATGGAAGGACCTTAGGTAGAATGTTATACTGCACAGTTACACAGTGTATAGTGTTAGAAATTCTCTCATACTGGAAGCTTTTTGTTTAACATAAGTTCTGATACCACAACACAGGTAACTAGACAGATGTACGAAATTAAGAATTTGAAACCTTTAATTTACCATCTTATGCCTATGGAATACCACCATAAGAAATATAATACTGTCCTGTAGTGTTATTTTTATCATAGAAATTTTTTCACTATGCAGTATGGTGTATCATTACTTTCAATATTATTTAAATGTCATCTTTCTCATAAACATTTATTGTCTTTTGTACAAATGCTTAGTCGTTAACGGCAATTAGTAAATTTATTTAAATCAGTTAAAAATTTCATTCGATAATTTGACTTAATATGTCAATATAATAACAATGAAAACACTTGTTATCATGTTTTTAAAAAATATTTGTTCATTCTTTTTTAAAGATTACACCAAATGTATTAGGTGTGACACGTTTTTGTCCAGAAACTCGTGAAGCTGTCCTATTGATAACACATACAGCTTTTTATGATCCTGGACCTAATCCACACCATTCAGATTTTCATCCAATTCGGTTGGGTGGACGAGTGAATAGATTGTTATGTGAAATACTCTCGACATTTAAAGGGGATTATCCACCACAGAAAGATTTTAAAAAGAATCCACAGGTATGAATTATGTTGTTTCCCCTGTTTATTGTTTCACTATAATAATACATAACAATGTAATTCTTTTGCCAAATCTAAATTTATGTGTTCAGGTCTGAGCTAATTTTCTGTGTAAATTTGTGTAGTAGGCTAACTTAGCTACCTAAATCGCAGTTGGTTGAGCTGATTTTGAACCTATGACCTAATGAGTTTACTGTAAACTGATTATTCTAGATGATAATTCGCTGATTATATCGAATATACGATTAGTGGATAAACATAATATAATATTTGATTTTTACAACTTAGTTAGTGAATAGACTACTGATCGAAAAATAATTGACCCATTAAAATAAAGGTCGCTTTTGATTGCCATAATGCCGTATACTAGATGACAATAAATGTATCTAGCATTTATCGAAGTTACATTGGTCCTGCTAAGATCTAAATTTCGATTGTAACTAAAACCCGAAGAGAGCACTTACAGTGCCCATTTTGTATTCAAACATTAGTTTCTTATTACTAAGTCAGTTAGCAGTAGGTTTCTTTGTGCTAAATGATAAAATGATAACATTATGGCATTTTATCACATAGAGATAATTTATAGAATGTATTTTTAGTTAACTATCGTATTTATTATGCCTAATTTGTATAAATATTCAACCATTTGTTACTGACATTTTTCATTGATTTCAATAAATGATTAATTATCTAGTGCATAAATTATTTAAGGTCGTCGTTGCCTCTCAAAATGTAAACATTTATTACTTAATATATTTACTAACTTGTCAAACCACTGAGTTGAAATATTGTTAGCGTACTGAATCTAGTCCATGTATTCATTTATATTGTAATGAGTATCAGGTTTTATACGACAAAGATGTATGAAACTCTTTGAAATTCTGGTTTTAACAGGTTATAGTAATTTAAACGCAGAAAATGGACCTGCATTTAAATAATAGCACAAGTAAACAGTATGAACAAACAGATAATTTAAAATTCCAACTAGAAACAAAATGTTAGCTTTTGTTGGATTGTTTCTTGTGTATCGTACGGAGAAGTTGGATTTCAGTAATATCATTAAACCGTGGTATTTCTTGTATTGTGAAGAATCGAAAAATGCAAAATAAAAGTGTTATAATGTCACCATCTGTTTACGGTTGATGATTAATGAATTATTGACTATAGTAATTGAGTAAATGCAACTCACTTGACTAGTAAAAGTTTATATGTTGGGCTTTGAATCATGTTGTTTTATGTGGAAGCTAGCGATGATAGCTTGATACCCAGACCAAAGTAGTTAGATCCAGTTTCGGACGTGTGACCTGTTTGCTGGAAATTAAATGCTTTAATCATTAAATCAATTATAATTCCTTGTGGAATCAACCCTGCAAACTAAATGTGATATAGAAGGATTATCTGACTGATGATACACTTTTAGCGAAGTAAACCTGTCTGTTTATCTGCAAAACTTTCACCCAGGTTGGTATGAATTGCTGTCTATGTATTGAGGTAACGAATAATTACTCAACAAGTAAATGGAAGTCATCAAAGCTGTCATTATCAATAAGAATTATCGCAAGCAATTCCCATCAAGCATATTGATGACACTGGTTATCCGAAAAAATATATTTCCTTAATTATTTAGATAACTATTATCAGAACTTTTACTCTTGTGATAACTTGTGGCCTGTGCGCCCTGCTAATGTATAAAGTAAGGATACCGCCAATCAGAGAGCATTGACTTATCGATCGGACCAATGACGCGTAAAACACGTGCGAGTAGTCTAGAGTCGTTATTGGTCCTGACTGACTGACTAGCCCAGCCAGTTAAGTCCAGAACACCAATCCGAGCCTCTGCGATATGAGTCGTTTATTTCAAACATACTGGGTTTATATACCAACCAGACAGACCACATCGTACCAATAAAATATAAAACAACATTTGTAAAAGAATTAGCCACATGTGGCTGTGAATGAGGGAGGTAGTAATTAATAGACAGGGCATAACTCAAGAATAGTAGATCGTATAATAATAGTTCATAGGTCAAAATAAAGCTCATAATAAGAGGGACATGAATATGAACAGTTTAGTTATTTAACAACTATACGATAAAAATATACTCATAGCATTGGTCCATAAATGGATCCCAAAAGTTACCATTCATTATGCTTATCGGGACCTAACAACTCTTCAGCGTGTTTGTTGGTAATGTGTCCATAACACTCAGGAATCTATGTAACCTATGTTTGTGGGAACATTTTTTCTGGATTAGAATTGACCAATCTTGTTTGTTTCAAATCATCAATCACCACACAAATCAGATAATAAATAACATGCCTAATCTGGATCATCACAATTAATTGTGCTTTGAAAACCTGTTTTATTTTCTGTCCGTATTGTATTCTTCATTGTCTAAACGTATTTTTAGTTGTTTAAAAGAGAGGCGCTAGTGCAGTTATATTTTTATATTCATACTATTATTTCAAATGGAAATGTAGACATATTAAAAAAACTTTTTTGAATTCAAAATGTCATGATACGAGATTTTAATAGTAAAACTTTAAAGTTAACATTCTCACCGACCATAGTATCTACACATTTTTCTTAACCAAAGATTAATTCATATCAGTACTATTGTAGTTTGATATCATGAACCTATCGATGTTAGACCACCTTGGAAAACCCGGAACCAGTGGACGGCCGTTTCGTCCTAGTGTACGACTGGTTTTCAGTAATGGTCTAACTTAGATCGAATCATGTATTAAACTGATAATAATCATATGCTCAACTTCGTAAAGAGTCGGAGGACCTACATTAACTTGCCATTCAGGTTGACTGGAGATCGTGGGAAACCGAAGTGTGGTTGAAGGCCAGTTGAACTGATCCCTAAAGTGTTCTGCCCATCGATCCAATCTCCTGGATTGATAATGTATAATATGTCCATCTTTCTCTGAGATTGTTTCGCTAACAGTCGGGTTCCTAATTCCGGTTTCCTTAACGAGTCTGAACAATTGTCTGCTATTACCTATTGCCGCTGCCTTCTTCATCTCTCTTGCTTTCGCTACCCACCACTGTTCACGATCATTGTGTAGACTTCTTGTCAGCTTGCGCTTAAGCTGACTCCGCTCTTCATTATGTTCAGAGCCAGGTGGAATGAGTTTCCGAGCATCTATCAGTGCGGTAGATGCTGCTGAGATCCAGTGTTGCTCCCTAACCTTCTGGTTTACCTTACTAGCAGATATCACTGCTGTTTCCACAGCTTTTCGGATATCATTGCATGCTGCCTCGGGGTGGGCATCACATACATGGCTGCCTAACTGTCTTTCTAGTTGTTCCTGAAATATACTCTTAGTTTGACTATCATTAAACAGGACCCTATGAGGTTTCCTTGGAGTGTCTTTCTTACGTCCAGTAAGACCCAGGCAAATACGCGCTAGTACTAGAGCATGATCTGAATCCAATCATGTACTTTAGAATGAGCGACAGTCTTCTATCGAGCCCCTCCATCGGTGGCTGATAGCGATGTGATCTATTTGGGTCCAACGTTAGGACGAATGAGGGGGTCGCCATGTTAAAAAGATGTTTTTCCTTATGCCTAAAGTTAGTATTTGCAAGGAACAGATGGTTATCTGAGCATAGCTGCAACAGACGGTCGCCATTATCTGTTCTTTGAGCCACGATGCTATAAGATCCACCTAGGTGTCTTTCCCTTCCGCTTAGTTTACCTACTTGATCATTAAAGTCACCGGCCACTATTACTACATCCGAGCGCTTAGCTTTTCGGAGAAGGTCGGAGAGCTTTCAGTAAAACTCATCTTTTACATCATCTGCGCTGCGGTCAGTGGGAGAATAGGCAGAGACGACGAAGAGGCAACGACGAGTGTCCCTATCTTTCCGGATTCTTATTGTTCCGTTTAGTCGGACAGCGCACAAACGACTGTCTACTGGGATCCACTCTAGGAGAGCTAGTTCTGCCCTAGGGCTCGATGCATTACCTACGCCGGCGAGTCCACAAGAAGCAGCGTCTGGGCTTCCAGATACACGGAGTGTGAATCGAGTTGGTTCTTTATTTTGACATGGTAATGTCAAATGAATGACGATACTTGGATCCTGTATGCGCGTTTCGGAGACGCAGCACACATCGATGGCACGAGATTCTAAAGTCCTAGCTAAGGAAGCCTGCTGTCCTATTTGGCACAGTGTTCGTATGTCAAAAGCTCCTACATGTAGTTTAGAGCGTGGTTTCAGTAGACCAGGAATGCCGTTACGCGTACTCGAATCGTTTGTCCTAGCGGTGCGAGGTGATAAAGAGACGTGAGGAGGGTTAGTCGGGGAGGTTAGAGTGGTATTAAGAGGTGTAGGAAGGATTTGAATGTGACCACCTTGGTCTCTTGTGCTGTTACGCGTATGAGGGCTGATGTCACTTCCCGGCTGCCCACACCGTGGAAGGGTATTTCTTGAGGAAACTGAAAAGAAAATTGGATTAGTGTTGGTCTTAACGACCTGGGAGCGTGACCGCAGAGCCCAAGGGACAACTGCTTGAGGCCAGTCGCGCACGGCCTTTTTGTGGAAGGTTTTTGACGTGTTAGTTCCGTTCTTCAAAGGGCTTTACCGCCAGAGACGGAAATCCGTGAGGTAAAGTGAGGTGTGACATTTTTAGGTCGACCTTTTCTAACCCCACCCCTCCTTGTGAGAAGGCAGCATCGATGTACATATGTGCCTGGTCTTAACGTTGTAGCTGACTGACTGAGTTACCCACCGAAGACAATGAAAGTTGGTCGCGCAATATTGTGGATTGATTGCAGTTAGACATTAACACCTTTAGATACCGGCCCAGTGGTCTAAATGTTATCCGTTCGCGCGTGAGACCTATGGCCCTAGGTTCGAATTCCGCTTGTGGGATCGTGAATGCACACTACTGAGTTGTTCCGTGCTAGGTCAAAACGGCCATCCAGTGCTTCCAGGTTTTCAGTGGTGGTCCAACATTGATTGGTTTATGATCTCAATTAAAACTCAACAATCTCCACAACCCTATGTTGATAATTTTTTATTTCTTTTCCCCTTTCCTTTTCCAGTATATAAATGGTTTAATGTGTATGAATTACTCAATTTTACAAAATGTACCAGCCACTGAAAGTAAAACATTTCGCGTAGAAAGTTACTCAGATGAACATGGTGTTATGGTGGATAGTTTAATATTTTACAATTTCCCACCGGGATCAGTTGTAATTGTTTCAATTAAATTAGATGATAGCCAACTACAAGCCATTGCAGATTTACATAATTTCATGTCCCAACAGGTTAGTTTAGTTTTGTACATATGGTTGTTTATTTCATTATTATTTTTATTTCTATAACACCACTGTTGATAATAAAAGTCTACACAATTTTATTCGTAAAACTTCAAAATCAATCATTTGTAAAGAGTGTTTTAAAAATTCTACTGGCCAACTGCTTGAGTACCCTCGTATATCATAGTTATTGAGCGTTCATGCATCATTTTCGAAAATAAAGCCCATTATTGAGATATGTGACCGACGCTTAAAGGACGTATTTGAATATCTTTTCAGCGAATATTAATTAAAAGTCTTATATTTGCAACACTTTGTTATAGCCATAAATCTAGTCTCTAAAAATGATGAATAGGTCATTATAACAATCACCTCCTTATTGTGATAAAAGTTTTCAGTGAAACTGATTTCTATAGGATTTTTTGAGACTTCACATATTCGATACTGATCTTGGCAATTATTATGCATTTGTTCAGAAGATTCTCTATTTTATTAATATCTTCAAATAGTCAGTCACCGTTTAAGAGGCAGTTTTATAAAAAAAGCGTGAGTTAAAATAATTTGACCCCACTTGATACATCTACAATTGTGTGAAAAAAATCTAATGAATGATTCTGATTGTAAGCTTTAATTTAAACTCTTTATAAACCTTCAAATGATTGGATATTTCAATAAACCGTATCATTTACTATGATATGTTTTCAGTTGTAAGTGGTTACCATATTGAGATCATATTTTTTAAAATCAAAATTTAATCTGTTGTAGGAGTCTTGAAAGCACTGATTTCACTTAATACTACTGGATTGCTGAATAAGTCTGTTATCCTATCCAAAGACAAGAAATCTTAACATTAAGTCAGTTATTTTACAGGGAGCGCAATGTCATCTGATATAGGCGCAAGTTGTTGTGATCAATTTTTAAGGTCTCATTTTGTTGTTCATAAACTCTTGAAATTGATACTGTTTCGCGATGGTTAGCAGTAGTAAAAAAAAGTGAAGAAAATAATCTTGACCATGATGAATTTGTGTATTTTGATGAAGTTCTGCCGGTTACTGGAGCTTCTCAGTTGTTCACGTTACAAACCTATACAAGTACTTGAAGAAGAAATCGGATTAATTTTTACGCAGCTGCGAAACCAAAAGCTAGTAATGATGCATGACAATTGTTGATGTAATATATTTTAACAGTTTAAACCATTTCCTAAATAATTAAACGACCGACGAAATAAAACCTTGTTTGAAAGTAAAATGTTGCAGTTTTAGGACTGGTATTTTCCGAGAATTTTTATTCATATTCTGTATCCAGTATCTATCATTGGAGAGATGTTAGTTACTCAAGGAAAACCTATTATCACATGAAATTTCTTTTCAATAGTCACTATGCACTGACGTTTTAAAAGATTTTATTCGACTTCTTTCATATAAACTTTTTGGACAAATTATCTCAACCAACTAGTATTTCAACTATTGGAATTTGACTAATTCATCAAAATATGAAATCAATAATATCACAATCATTCAAGCTATGAGCAGAGGATTTATACTGGAGTCTTGTTTTTAGATTATTCTGATACCGTTGAATTTCAACTAGATTGTTATGCGTTCATGAAATATACATCTAGTTCCTAAGTCATTTTGGAATTAAAGTTTCAGTTAATCAGACTGATACAACATAGAACCTGCGACATATGTTCACCAGCACAAGTTGCCACACCATATCAGCACCGTAAGATGAAATTATCAAAATAAATAAGAAATTATTAGAAGTAGTAACGCTATTTCTGGTTGTAACAACATTAAGCACAAAAAATATGTTTTGAGAAGAAAGAACGAATTCGTAAAATAAAAGTTATAAGTACTCCAAGACAAAGAGTGAGTAGATCCATTGTGACCAGTTCTATCGTTCAACGTCTTCAAACATTGCTTTTGTTGATCGTTTGGACCCCAACCAGTCAGTCTGCAACTATCAACATAGCTCAATCCATCTGTGCACGTCAACAACTAATCTTTTTAATTTTTTTTTAATTTACATAAACTTTGTTACATAATTTATCAGAAGAAAAAAATCCTAGCTTATAAGCATAGAGAGGCGTTAAGAAAAGACTCATATAAGCCTAATTCATTTGCATGCATATAGCTATTAGCAAATATTGTTTTGTTTATGTAACAGTCTCTATCTTCTTAACTGGGATATTTCTTTCACAAAGGGGTACATTAAATCACACACTATGTAGTATTAGCCTAGTTCTTAGTCTATGTATTCTATCTATTGTGTAACAATGTGGTCATTAAACTAAATTGTTCTATTTCGCATTGAATGTTGTTTGGATGTAAGATATCTAAGAGCAATCAATAGGTTTACAAATAACTTAATAACTAATTTGTATTTAGAGGAGATTCAGGACTAATGGTGTTCCAGAATTACTCGTCAAACTAAGTAGCGAAAATTGGTATCAAAAGTACAAAATATTTCATTGGAGTTTTAATGCAACGTGACGTTACATATCAACGATTATTTGTACAGATTATATTTTATACAAAATGAAATGTAATTTCGTTGTATATTTTGTCACTTTAATGGATAAAATTGACAACTGGTTTTTCTTTTCGAAATTATTTCCTGATGAAAACAAACTAATTTCATCCAAGATGCTTGTTGACACAACCAATCATTTCAAGTTACAGAAATATTTTATTTTTACTTAACAATAACCATACAGGTTCTAAATAAAGCTATTACTCCTCCTTTTCACATATGACTTTAAGACACTGAATTGCAAATTGAAATGTTCTTCGTTTCCGTTTAGAACAATCGAGTAGTGTCGTTTGATATTTTATAATATCTTTATTTCATACGCACTGGTAATTGGTTATTAAACAATGTTTTCAATATTCCTTTTAATCGACTCTCTTTAGCCAATATACTGTCTTCATAGTATATTATCTTCTGTAAATTGTTGAACCTATTCGTTTACGTATACATCGAGTAAACAAATCGTTAACACATACTTGGCAATCATTATCTCTTGTTCTTCTATATCCAGTTATAGTTTATTGCAATCGTAAATTCTCTTAATATTGTTTCTTTCATTTACAGTTTGATTGTCGTTTATATGAACCTCGAACAAGTCAAGCTATGGGTAAAGGTGAAAATGCCTATATTCCTTTAAGTTTACCATCAGGAAACAATTCGTTACTAAAGCCGAATTCGATCAGAGTTCTTTTAGGCAATATGAATTTATTGGAACTGAACAAATTACTCTTCAGATGTTCTGCTGAAGAATTAGCTGATGGATGTAACTTTAATTCGTATCAAATACCTGATTGGGGTTGGTTGGTTTATTGTGGGTTTCAAGTGAGTACTTCCATGCTTTTGTTAAACTTTTATGTGATTTAGCATTTTTTTCAGCTTCCACCCTATAGGTCTCAAGTTCAAACTCTTATCTACCTACTTCTGTCCTGACTGTCATGTAGTTATCACTAGCCCTCAAACAACTAGCATGTTTAAAGTAGTTACGTAAACTACTGGATGCCGGCCCAGTAATCTAAAGGTTAGGTGTGCGCCACGATTTGGGATTGTCTATCTATGCTGCTAAGGAGTCTCATTCTAGGACTATACATCTGTCCAATGCTTCTTGTTTTTTTAGTGGTCGCCTAACTCAGATCATCTCGTGATATAAACTATGAGAAGCACGTTTTGGGGCTGAATTCATAAAACTATACTTGGCAAACGAATCTCATTTCTACAGTTTTGATCTAAATTGAAAAAACTATTTAATTTATTTAGACTGTGGAACAAGTAGAGAAATCTTCGTTGGTTTGAATTAGTCTCTGGAAGACATTTAAATTATTCGAAGGTAAAGTGACATATTTCAAGAATGTATGATGAACAAATGATCATCCAATTGTTCTTCTAACATCAAAATGCATTCCACTGTTAATCACTATCCAAAATTACAAAAATACGTGTAATCAATTGACAATATTGAGGCAATCTTTTCAAGATGTGCATACTCTAAAAAGTGGTTGATCACTTCCAGTCCTTAATGCCAACAGGAAGATGCAAACACTTATAAATTCAATTGATTCTCGTTACATTATCCAGTGCTTATTTGAAATTAGTAGCGGATAGATTGGGCATATTAAAGTGAAATTTACTGGGTTCAAGTTTCATTGTGGATATCAACACAGGAATCCAGATAGAATCTAGATAGTGAGTCTCAAGCAGGACGAAACGTGCATCCTGGATTCCACATCTAGCCGCTATCTGACTTCAATAAAATTAAAATGGATAGCTATATTTTCTCAAAAGTTATATACTGGTAATTATCACCATCAACACATAGCTTTAGGTTTTCAAAGCTAGTAATTGCTTTATTCTTGTGTCCGTTAAATATTTCATTTAAGTTTACTAAGTAGTCCGATAGTAGAAGTAATAATCATGATAACACAACTAATTTTAAGGATAATTTATAACACCCTATAAGGAATTGGAATCAGATCATGTCAGTGTGTTATCCTTTGACCTCTGGATTTTTGGATCCATTTCGAACATCTGTCATTTCACGATATTGCTCAGCCGTTATTTATAGTTGTTTGTTATATCTACATTAATATCGACATAATTTAACTCCACCAGTCACTAAATTTCATTATCTCGTTTCTTCTAGTTTACATAATGTACGTGTCTTAGGCAGACATTAATTGAAAATCAGGAAGTACTGAACAGCCGTTTCGTCCCAGTATGTGGTTTCTCAGCAGTACACATTAACAGTCCCATCAAAGATTGTAACCACCATCTTCAGTCTCGCTCATATGCTCTACAGTCTCTACATACTGCCTAAGGTGTCGTGGTGAGCGCTTAAACTTTAGACCACAGTGGTGGAACCCACGGGTTTACATGTCTAACTATAATCAATTCGTGTCGTTGTGCATCTTTCTTGCACTGTTGTTGATCGGTAACTATCTCACACTCTATATAGTTGACCTCCACCAGTCATAGCTTTTCACTTGAGTTTGAGGAGCTAACTTTCGTACTTAGTCAATAGCAAGCACGTAATTATTATTACTATGGTAGGTTTATAAAGATTTGTTTCCAAGACTTATTTTAAAATCTCCCTGTTAGATTATTTATCTGTTTTACTATATTTTTGCATGAATACCTTACGAAATTTTTAATTGTTCGATTATCTATGCTAATAATTATTTTCAGGTAGTTCTCATAAACTAACATTAGGGTTAATCTATAAATAGTAATTTTATCTTCAATGATGCTTCAATTAATATCGCTTGATACCATAATTTGATGTGCAACATTCGTGTCATTTGAAATGCATCTGTCTTGTTCGACTCGTTTAAAGTTATGTAGTCGGACAAGGTGAGACATATTTTTATCCTGAACAATTTAGCATAGGAGTTATTGGTGAACACTAAAAAAAATCCTGTTAGTAGGTTATAAACTTTCCACACCTCAATACTATATACTATGATTAGTGGTTTTAAGTTCCTTTTTGAATAAGTATGTTTTAACTAAAATACTCTATTGTGAATCCACGAGCATTCTTATTATCTGACCTAAATGAGATAACTGAAGTTCTCAGCTGACTAGCATCGTCCCCACAGAGATTTTGCACTTCTATATTTATCCAATAAAGGAATTGTTATTATGTACTATTAAAAACCTGTAGATTAAACAGAAAAATTTGTTTTATGAATGGAAAATATGTAGCTTGTAAAAAAACGTTGTCGATATCAAGTTTAAACTCATTAAAATTTTTAAACTGTGTGAGTCTTAGAAAAACTAATTAATACATTTTTATTATTCCTTAAGACTGTTCAGTCTCTTTGCTGCTGAATGTAATTGTACCACGAAGTACATGTTGAACATCAATAATGTAATCAGATTACATTTTTTTATACTAACATCACTGAGGGTAGTGCTGTTATTTTCATGTTCTGTACGTAATTTTATAGGGCTAGAAGAAGCCCTTGAATATAATAGTTAACCGTTGAAAGCGAAGGCAGCCTACTTGAATATCTGCGCTACATGTTCCTGTCATTTAAATATTTCAGCAAGTTATCTGTTTTTTAAAACTTTTTTTAACACCTCAGTATGTCTATTAATCACGTAACATATTCAGGTGCGTTTATGAAAGTTCTATGACCTTTCGCTGTACAAGTTACAAGAAAGTGCGATCAGTGACATCGTGGTGGTTGGCAATATGAATTGAAGAGAATGAACATTAATCAAATGTCGATACCTGAACTGCTAAATTCTAACTGCCGATCCCTAATTAGCAAGATGAACTATCTTCAATTCCTACTAAGTCAAAACATGTATCGTAATTCTGGTGTCATCACAATTCAAGGATCTTGGTAAACTGATTTACAGGACGATTGCCTAGTATCACTACGTGATTTCAATATCTATCGTCAGGATCTATCAAGCAATAAAAAGAGGTTTGGCGGCGTTGTAGCCACGTTTGTAAACGTGAATGATGTCGACCTACTTTTACATGTTTCAAATTTCCAAACAACTTTATTGGCTGTTTAACATTAAGTTGTCGTCCAAAACACTTAAACACAAACAACTATGTTTATGTTACCAACATCTACGTGACTCCAGACTGCACATCATCTGCACTATCTGCTTTTGCTGGTGAATTCACTGAATTTGCTGTTATTGTTTTCAGTGGTTCATTTTCAATTATATGTAGTGATTTCAATACATGTGACTGTAGCTTTCTTTGATCACTAGGCCACCAAAATGTAGTACATTTTCCTATTCGTAATAATGCTCATTTGGACTTAATTTTCAATTATGGTGTGGGTACATATGTAACTCTTAAACGTGCTCTGTTGTCTAGCTTGGACCACTGTATAATTCGTGTATCAACCTAGAGTATATGGAAAGTGTGGAATGAGAACACACTTACATCAGACCAAAAAAGTCAGACACAGGAATTACCCAGAGGAAAATATCCAAAAGTTGAAAAGCATGTTTCCTGCATTTACCGGGGATTATTTATAGATGACTCATTGAAAAACACCGTTGATGTTATCACTTGTTATCTTAAGTTCTGTTTTGATATTTGTTGTCCCATGGAAACCATTTTTGTAAGTTTCGATCGACTTACATCTCCACAACTAAAACAACTACGGAGGGTGAAAGAAAGAAAGTACAAGGAGAAAAACTCGATTGAAGTTAGTAATCTAAATGGTCTAATAGACCTAGAGATTAGACGTCTCAGCTCTGTGTTTACTCAAAAACTCCTATCTTCTAAATGCTCTCCATGTATTTGGAAACTCTTTAAAGAACTTACAATTGACAGACACATTAGAAGTCTTTTGTACGTCAGCTGATGTAACGCTCCCTATATCCACAAGTTTGAAGAATGGTTTTGTTCCTAGTTTTACTGAAACTCGTGTCCGAAGATATCTCCAGTCACTTAATTCATTCCGATGTTTAGGACCTGATGGTATCCCAAACCATCTTTTTAAAAAAATGTGCTGACGTCATATGTTATCCATTCACGACTATCTTTAACAGATCTTTCTCATCTAATGTCATACCGAAAATGTGGAGAAAGATGAAGATAATCCCTGTACCCAAGAAAGTATCTGGTGATAAGAATGTGAAATTTAGACCTGTTGCAATAACTTCACCCTTCCTCAAAACAATGGAAAAATTATTAATACTTCCACTTCAGCCTGCGATAAAAGAGCTTATTGACCCGTATCACTTTGCCTACAGATGCAAAAGAAGCACCTTAGATGCTGTGGTTGTTCTGCATCACAATATAGTGTTCAACTTAGAAATGGGTAAGTAGTATGTTCGATGCACTTTTCTGCACTATACTTCAGCTTTTGATTCTATACCAAGACAACGTTTACTTAACAAGTTAATCAGCGTCAACACGGAAAGCTGGATAACCAACTGGCTATGTTTCTACCTCTCTGGAAAAGATCAGTACATCGTGTTTGGAGGAAAGTGTTCGACGCCTCTACTTTCTCATGAAGGCGTGCCACAAGGAACCGTTCTTTCCCGTCTTTTTTTCTCTTTTTTTTGAATGATCTGCCATCTTACACAGAAAACACTTTTGTGAAATATGCGGACAGTTTCAATGTATGTATGCCGATTTCTACCTCTTTACATCCCATAGAAATGAATCGGATTCGTCTCTTGTTGAATGGTGGCATTTTGTTAATGGTCTCATACTTAATCCGTCTAAATGTCAAACTGTTAACTTTAACCTGAGAGGTGAACAGCACCTAAACACTGTGTTGGCAGCCCATAATGCTTGTACCATTGGAGATTCTTTGATGAACACAATGTTGATAGTCATTTATGTTGGT